AGTTTAAGATTCCATTTTTCATTGTTAAGCTCAAATAGTTTCTGGCTAATCATGTGGTTCAAATAGTTTACCCTAGCCTTAAAGATGGGTTGTCTGGTTCTAATCCATTTTCTTTGATTTGTGTTTCTATCACTGATTATATTTTTTATCCATCGTGTAACTTTCAGAACTATGGGCCTAATAGGCGCTTCCGGTACACACTGCTTTATTGCATTATGTATGTCAGCTTAAAGAATATTGACCATTAAATCTATTACTTCTTGCTCCGCTTCAAAGTCCGAAAGAGCTTCGAGATTGGCTAAGGTAGCAACATTGAGGATATGCTTAAATTTTTTCCAGTTTGCTTTGGAGTATTGCAAGTGTGTAACATTTTTGCAATGAACTCCTTTAGTAAACTTACAAAGTACTGGTAAATGGTCCGATGAGAGATCAGTATGTACAATTGGCTCGGAGAAATTTATCGGTGAATTTGTAAGGAAAATGTCAAGAGTTGAAGGCTTGCTACTAAAGTTAGCTGGTATATAGGTTGGATCTTTGGAGTATAAAAGCGAGAATTTTCCTGTTGACAAAAGCTCATGAAGGCAATTTCCAAACGAGTTAGCTCTGGCACAATTCCATAAACGATTTCTGCAGTTCAAGTCACCACCCAATATGTAATGGCCATCAATTTGTGAAAATTTTACTAGGTCGGCCCTGAACATAGTTTTTATGTGTTTATTTGTTATAGGAAAGTGGCATAGATTGTTTAGGCATTTAGCTGAAGCACCAGGAAAATAGGCTGAATATATTTTGAGAGAATTGTTGGAGTCAATGTTTATCTTTATAGCAATGTTTTCTATAAGATGGGTCTTTATACTATTGATTTGTTCATGCTGAATACTGTTCTCTACTATAATCGCAACACCTCCACCTTTTGTGGTACCACGATCATTTCGGTAAACTTTATAATTTGGTATAGACAGTTTAATTTTATCCGTTAGCCATGTTTCGCTAACAAGACAAACATGGATTTGGTTTTTAGTGAGGAAGTTAACTAACTCAAGACGTTTAATACTGACGGCACGAGCGTTCCATGCCATGATATTAATATGAGTGAGTGATTTACTTATTGGAGTACACATATTTGATAGCAAGTTGAGTTATTATATTGAACTGCTCGCTTTTTGAGGTACAGGCACTCAGTTTATTTATGAGCTCAGTCGTAAGAGCTGTGATTTCGTCGATGGTAAAAAGGTCGGGAGAACTCGGTGGATTTGAGTCGTTGTTTACGACTGCATTTCTGTAGCTCTGGTATGAAACTTGAGGAAGATTGGGCGGCCGAATCGGAGTTGAGTGCTGTCTTGGTACGGCTGATACGAGCATATTTCGGTTTGCTCCACGAACTTTTTGGTTCTCGTACCTCGGTTTGATGAAACGATTACCGCTGGACGATCGTCGTTGGAGAAGCGATTGATAAGAAAGTCGGCAAGGGCACTGAGGGTCGGAGGAGGGGTGATTCCCTTTGCAGATGGCGCATTTTAGTTTGGTGCTGTCAGGACACTCAATGGTCTTGTGTGGGCCGGCACAGTGGGCGCAAGAGGTCTTTACAGCGCAATGCATGGATCCATGTCCATAAAGCTGGCAATTGTAGCATTGTGTCAGTTTGCTGATTGGTTTTGATTTGTACTCCCATCGTACTTTGGTATGGTTTATATATATGTAGTCTTTGCGTAGCTGGTGCAGAGTGATGCTTTTATTAGCGAAATAGACTACATAGAGCAATAGCTTATTGTCATTTTTGGTTGTTTTTTCAATTGTTTTAACCTCAATGCATTTCAGGCCCATGTTATTAAGCAAAGTTTTGACGTCAGCATTGGGTAGTTTGTCAAGACCAGAAAGTACCGCCTTGTAAGGTTTGGTCTTTTTGCAGTCGTACGAATAGAATTCGCATTTGAGATCACGCAGTTGAGTGCAAATTTTATTGTAGTTTTCTTCACCTGTGGTGAAAATTTTGATACCAATAGATATGGTTTTGATATAGTAGTCACTTATTTTAATGCGGATGAGAACATCATGTAGGAACTTGGCAGTCTGTTTAAGGACAGTAATAGGTGGCATTTTAGTAGCCTCTTTTGGGACGACTTCAGGTTCCTCTACGACGTCATCAATGTTGTTGTTGTCCTCAATAGTTTGAAGCGGACGATAGTAATTTGTGAACTCGTCACGAAGAGCTTTGTTCACAGTAATATTTTTCCTTTGACGTGGCATTTTGTTAATAGCGGCTGATGCTACAGCATCGCCAGTAATTGTCTTTTGACGTTTTATGTTTATGATAATATGCACTTTCAATCGACAAAACTTTTAGCTCTTTATTTAGATAGCACGATGTGCTGATCGTAATAATGAAAGATAACAAACGAGATCAACGTATGCAAGACAACCGTACACTCGGAGTGTAAGTCAGAGACTGATATATTTATAATAATTATTGTTATTATTATATTATTGTGAACTAATACATTTTTTTTGCCTTTATTTTGAGCATATTTTTCATGTTTAGCTGAAGTTTTAGTAGTGATCTAGTAGTGTGTTTTAGTAGTGAAATTCTATCGTTGATATACCAATGTGTTTGTCGGTCTCCAAAAGTAACAAATGTGTACAAATTTTCTGCCAAAATTTGCCTATGTGCCTAATTTCGTAAAAATACTAACACTGTTTAAACTTTAATGCCTTTGCTCAGTCTTTATGTTTCATTCTTGTGTTTACCTTTCCAAAACTATTGGTTCATTTACTAATAGTTTTTATTTTTTTTAATTTATTTTTTTTTTATAATTTTTATGTCATTATGTGTTGTGTTATTGTTTTAAAGATTGTGTTTCAATTAGTGTCCAGTGGCGAATTTTTGTGTATACATAGAATTAAGATAAAGAAAAAGTTGTGATACCTTTTTTTTTCCTTTGATGAAACTGATTTATTATTACTAGTGAATGTTTTCTTAGACTTTGTTTTAAATTTGAGCTGTAACTTTTGGCGAATTTCCGGCTTATTTCCTTTTTTGTGTTCGATCAAATTTTGAGTTTGGTTGTTTTCGTGCATATTTTGTGTTTTGTTCTGGACAAACCGGATATATCGCAAACATCGGATATTGTTGGCCGATCCTTATGAGAATATCATAATAAAACCAACTAAATACAATGAAAAATCTAAAACAAAGTCCCAAGCTTCTATCTTCAAAAATACCAATGTTGGTATTTCTACCAAAACCATTTCCGATCATTCAGTTATATGGCAGCTATAAGATATAGTCGGCCGATCATTATAAAATTTGGTGGGTTGGATCAATAGAATCTGTACGAAGTTCCAACTTTCTATCTTCAAAAACACAAAGTATTGGGCATTTCCGTTTTTTTAGTTATATGGCAGCTATAGGATATAGTCGGCCGATCGAAATTGGGTATGTCGTATTATTTTGCCAATAATAGCATTCATACAAAATTGGAACTCTCTAACTCTAATACCACCGAAATTATAGCATTTCCGATCAATCAGTTATATGGCAGCTATATGATATAGTTGCCGATCTTTTTTATTGTTGTAATAGCAGGGTAACGTTTATTTAAAACTGTCCATTAGGGACAACCATTAAATGTTATCACATAAACTTCACTCATAGATAATTTTAAATATTAATATGGTCGAAATAAATTAGAGTAGTAAGGGGAGGTCCAGCGGGTGTGTCCTTTTTAGCCTTCTGGGCTGCTCGCTGTATTTATATTTTATATTATTTGTATCTCGTCCTTGACCCAAGGAAAATTGAGAACCTCGTGGATGGTGCGATTGTCATGATAGACGTGGGCCCCAGTGGCGATTCGAAGGGCTCTATTTTCGAAAGCTTGTATAGTTCGGACATTCGTCTTGCTAGCAGTGCCCCAGAGCTGTATGCCGTACGTCCAGATTGGGCGTATTATGGCCTTGTAAATTAGGAGTTTAGTGGAAGTTCTCAGCTTCGATCTCCCACCCATAAGCCAGTAGAAGGATCGAAGTCTTTGATTAGCCTGTTTCCTCTTCTTAATCAGATGGGACTTCCAGGTGAGCCTCCTGATTAGTTGCCGATCTGGCTGATTTTAATATATTATCTTAGAATATAAAAATATTTTGTGCCAAGTTTCAAGTCCCTACCTCAACTAGAAGTATTTTTGGCCGCTCTTTTCATACAAGCCGGACCACTGTGCGATACTTTAGACTTTTGGAGCGGCAACAACGGCTGCTCCAAATAAAGATCCAAATAAAATACAAATAAATCTGACTTGATTGAATACGATTGACTTGATTATAAACTGGACGGGATTCCTGCTGGTGGAAGAATCCTATTACAAAACCTTATATAAGTAATGTATAAAAGTAACAACATCCAACATCCAATTAATTAAAGTTGTTTTATTATAACAGAATAATGAAAAATCAAGAATGGAAAGCAAACTTCGGGCGGAACCGAAGTTGATATAATCTTGCAGTTAAAATCGGATATATATCGCACACATCGGATATAGTTGGCCGATCCTTATGAGAATATTAGAATATAACCCAATTTATTATAATAAAAAATTTAAAAAAAAAAGTCCCAAGCTTCTTATCTTCTATCTATCGTAAGCTTTTTTTGGTCAACGGACTAAAAATATAATCTGTTCGAAGTTCCAACTTTCTTTTCTCAAAAACACGAAAGTTGTGTCATTTCCGATTGTTCAGTTATATGGCAGCTATAGATCCTTATGAAATTTGGTGGGTCGTATTATTTTGTCAACAAAAGCTTTATTACGAAAGCGAAAAATAGCTATCCGAACTCTTTAACTCTAAAAACACCGAAGTTATAGCATTTCCGATTAATAAATTATATGGCAGCTATAGGATATAGTCGGCCGATCCCGGCCGTTCTGACTTATATACTGCAAAGGAAAGAAAGACCAAAATTATAATATCATCCGCAAGGGTATAAAAATGAATAGATTTTATGTCTATTTTATTAAATTCATTATTATATTTTCAGTCCCTGGTTATTTGGCAGCTACTTACATTCCAGCACCACATTACATTACCTTACACCCTAATTTTAACATGAAAGGTTTAATGAGCTTATCCCACATTTTTAATAATTCATACAAAAAATATGTACAAAAAAAAACACTCTATGTATTTATTTACATAGATTAAACTATAGTATATTTTTCTATTTCCATTATTAAAATTATTCTGTTTAGGTTTTTTTACCTTTACCGGAGGCTCTTTACCTTCCATCTCTACGCCCATGCGATAAATATCACAGCGTTTTCAATGTCTTTGTAGCAGGGCTGCTAAATGATAAAAGCTGTAATCCAGTCAATAAACTTGGCCACGTCGGCATAAATCATAAGCTGCTTCCCGCAACAGTGCCTGTGAGTAATTTCAGAGCCTCGCGATTTTTTTGCAGGAAGTGCCGCCGACACCGTTCCTCGCAACATCCAGCGGTTGTTTTTATAGATCAAAAGTCCAGCACCCGATATACCAGTGTAAAAATCGACGTCCCCATGGTGGGGCTCAAAATTAACGGTGGCGCAGAAGGTACGGTTCGAAGACAGACTGCGAAAAGGCGCGTTGGCACGGAAGCATTCCGCATTACTAACAATAGGTGCTTTTACCATTTTAGGAATGCTGGTATCGATCACCTTTTTACCAGGAGCCGTCACTGTTTGAAAGGCTGTTGTATTTAATTTATCAAAGCTCCAGCCAATAACTATGCCATGCTCGCCCACGACGTATTCCGATTTGCTAGACCCAGACCAAAGACAGGCAGGGCGAATAAACGTGTTGAATCTGCAAAAAATATACAGTTTAGTATGAGCCTTTAAATAATTGTAATTCTTTCTATATGATTCCAATCAATGTAACTGAATATTAAATAGTTTTGCCGAAAATGCAGATGAAAGTATAAACAACAGAACCCATTTAAAGATAAGCTTATTTTAAGCCAATTTTAAGCTTATATTCTTAAATAATTTAAAATTATTATTTTAAAAATTATCTTCCCAAATTCTAAAATTTTTAAATATTAAAACTCAATCCTTTAAAGAATTTAGTTCTCAAGGGCGATCTATAATAATAGATGACTCCTCTAAATAAAAATCCATCTACAAGATGTCTGTCAGTCCGTCTATCAGTTTTAACACAAACTATTCTGATGGTCAAACTCAGTTTTTAGGCTATCGACTTCAAACTTTGCACACATCCTTAACTGATTGATCGGAAATGTCGTAATTTATGTTAGAGAGTTGGGACATTCTTAGATTTTTGACAAACGGATCCAATCTACCAAATTTCATAAAAACTGGCAAAAGATTGGAAACCTCACAATTTTGGTATTTTTGAAGATAGAAGCGACTTTTGTCAAAATATTTATTATTTAAATAATTCACTAAATCGGTCAACTTTATCTGATACCTAAAACCTATACGAATAATATACTGTCACTTTACTGAAAGGGCACATAAGCTTCGGCCCCGCCCGAAGCAAGCTCTCCTTTCTGGAAGGTGGTAAGGAGTAGAAGGTGAGAAGAGCTTACCGTACAGCATCCTTAAGCATAATCACGGCGATGTCTGCGTCGTAGCTACTAAGCTGGTTATTATAATCAGGATGGATGTATATTTCATTAACAGGTGCCGCGAGAGAGCCTTCCTCGTTCCAATTTTTAAGATTATGTCTGCCGAGAAAAACGAGCACTTCATTGGCTGTGAAACGACTGTTGAACATCTCAAAGCAGTGCGCGGAGCTGACGACAGCACGACCGGATACGAGTGTCCCACCGCATTGGAAGTCAAGAGAAGTCAGGTTGTTAACATATATGGCGGCTAACCAGGGCCAGGAACCGCGTACAATAGATGGGAGGCTCCCAGCCCCCATATCGCCTTCTACTTCACTCAATTCCATACTGTCATCCCATATGTGCGCGAAGCTATCATCACCGTCTACGAATACTGGTGATGTGATGGTATCAGAGCTTTTGGTTCTTTCCTGAACATTCTTTAAATCAAGCGGCCCATCTAGGTACTTCTGCAGCCGAGTATCATGGCCTCGGTTCAATCGTCCGCACATGTCTTTTGGTAGGTGAGCAAAGAGCTTTCTAAAAATATAACATTGAGTATTGAATTAATGCGATGCAAACTTGCCTCAACCGACCACAATCCGGATGCATACTTCTTCAACTGGGTCTGCGACGATTGTGGATGTGGACGCTTCAAACCGTGATCTTGGTTTGCAAACGTCTCCTCGGCAACCATCTTTTGAAGCTCTTCAGTGTTTAACAAAGAACTCTTTTTATCGGAAATAAAAGTTAGTTTTCTAATGTGCTCTAGTTGTATTTGGGTCATAAAAATACTTTGCTCTTCAAAAAAAAAAAAAAGAACAAATTGAAATAGTATGTACATGAGAATTTGAGACTTACTATTAAAATTAAGTATAATTATTAAATGGGCAATTCTCCAGAAAGGTCAACCGCAGCCAAAAAATTCAAAGTTCATAAAAGTATGTTTTTTTTGCATGTTCGTGCAATGTATTTATTAAATGTAACTCATGTAAGCCAATTTTATGTTTACTCATAACAAATTTTGAAATATTTCAATGCAAAGTAGACCAAGTGCGAAAGTTCTACTTTTGGCGTTTCTAATGCTCGTTTTGTTTTAAATAATTTTCTTAAAGAGAGTCATTAAGAATTGATATTCGCTTTTCTAAATCTCCATTTATATTCAAAGAATATGAAAAATATGTAAAAAAAACGATGCGATTACTAATAAGGGCGAATTTCTTATAATCTTATTTGTCTTTACCAATGTCGCGTTCGACAGTGAAAAAGAATATTTGTTATCAGTGCATCCAAGGTTTTTGTCCCAGGAGCACCAAATATCGTGCCCAAACGTAGATTTTTGGGCTAAACAAATTTAAAAAAATTTTAGTTCAATATAAGCAGCAATTCGAGTTTGGAACTCTTTTAAAGTTTGTCGCGTGCGACATTGTATGTAAAAAATTTAATTTAACTAATTTTTATGTATTAGTTTTAGTGTGAACAAATGCAGGAAACGAAAAAATCGAATCCAACTTCAAATATTGGCGAGAAAATATAAAAAAAGATGAACAAAAATGATTGAATTTATTGAAGATATTTTGTTAAGTTTGAAATTGATGTAAGAAATAATAAAAAAAAAATATTGATGCATCAAAAATAATTTAAATACATCCTTTGCACTTCTCATTACCTAAAAAGAAACAAAAACAACACAAAAAGTATGGTGGAAGAAAATGTCGCGTGCGACATGTAGCGTGCGACCGTGATTCAAATTCAATTTAAAACAAGAAAGGAAAGCTAACTTCGGGCGGAGCCGAAGTTTATATACCCTTGCAGTTAAAACCGGATATATATCGCAAACATCGGATATAGTTGGCCGATCCTTATCTGAATAGGAATATATAATCCAATTTGTTACAATACAAATTCTAAAAAAAGTCCCAAACTTCTATCTTCGAAAATACCAAAGTTGGTATTTCTACCAAAAAACATTTCCGATCGTTCAGTTATATGGCAGCTATGAGATATAGTCGGCCGATCCTAATGAAATTTGGTAGGTTGGATTAACTGACCAAAAATAGAATCTGTATTAAATTCCAGCTTTCTATCTTCAAAAACACGAAAGATGGGTTATTTCCGATCGTTCAGTTATATGGCAGCTATAAGATATAGGCGGCCGATCCTTATGAAATTTGGCATGACGTAATGTTTTGCCAAAAATAGCTCTCATGTCAAATTTGAACTCTCTAACTCTAAAAACACAAAAGTTATACCATTTCCGATCAATCAGTTATATGGCAGCTATAGGATATAGTCGGCCGATCCGGGCCGTTCCGACTTATATACTGCGTGCAAAGGAAAGAAGGGTGTGTGCAAAGTTTCAAGACGATAGCTTTAAAACTGAGAGACTAGTTCGCGTAGAAACAGACAGACGGACAGACAGACGGACAGACGGACAGACGGACATGCTCATATCAACTCAGGAGGTGATCCTGATCAAGAATATATATACTTTATAGGGTCGGAGATGTCTCCTTCACTGCGTTGCACACTTTTGGACAAAATTATAATACCCTCTGCAAGGGTATAAAAAACTGCTTCATATTTTTATGTCAAACAAAATGCATTATTAAGAACAATCAATACTTAACATTTTAAAATTAATTGCACTAAAATTATCCATCACGTTTCGCTGAAATCAGTGCTTGAACTGGTTTTCGAAAAAGTGACTTCTGTTTTTGTCGCGTGCGAATGCCTCACATTTATATGATTATCTTGATAAACAATTGCCCAAAATTTATCTTAGCACAGATTATAGTGCTAACCAAGAGCCTTAAGATTCGCATTTAGAAAAAAAAAAACAAACCATGCTCATTTTTTTCAGTTTGCGTACAAATATCGCGTTCGACATCAGAGAATTGCCCATATAATGTATATTTTAATGCAATGATACGGTTAAGATTTTATATTAAAGATATATCAAATGCCTTTAACAGCACCTAGCTAATTTCCATACACACCTCCTGTCCCAAAACAAATGACCTGGTTGTTGGCCGAAATAAGAAGCACCTTGGGAGGAAAGTGGTGCTTCGGAAAACGGATCTTGTAGAGCACTGGCGCGTTGCTGGTTAATTGCCCTCGTGTGAGCAGTACGATCTCGCCAAGGTAGTTCTGTGAGAATAAAAGTGGTTAAGATCCCTAAGAAAATGTGATATGGACATTCAAGCCAAAACAACTCACCGTGGTGAGCTTGCCTCGCATTGAAAGAGTGACACGAAGGTGAAGCGGATGATGAGATTCTTGGCTGTGGATGGCCATCAGACCGAACCACTCACTTCCGTCAAAGCGGTACTGGAAGATCTTGGGGCAAGGAGAAATAGGCATGCCTTGAGCAAAAACATGGAAAGATCTCCCAAGGCAAATGATCAGAAGCGCCGCCAGTTTAAGTTGCATTTTACGTTTTTTCATTTACACACCTTTAAAAGCGCAAATGTACCTTACTAGATACGGCAACAGGATTAAAATGGATTGCTTTTGGATTGGGGGTGGGAGCGTCGATAAAATTATTCACAAATATTTAAAAAATCTGCGACTCACAAACGACATGCCATCATAGCAAGGTTGCCAGAAAACAAAAGCTCGACAATTTAGGGAGGGATTTGCTTACCGTAAGTATTCAACTATAAAATGTTTCCAACCTTAGAGATTTTTATTTTTTTTATATGTCATACAAGTTTTTCTAGCCTTGATACCTTGTACGAAAATAAAAAAATATATTTTAATTTTAAGTCTCTTTCGAATTATGTAATTGTCAGAATAAAGTTTTTAAATTAATAAATATAATTAAAATTATTGATTAAATACAGAGCAACTACTGCTGTAGCGAGAAAAACACTGAAAGAAGCATTGTGGATAAACTTCCAAGAACAGAAATTTGATCATATTGCAATTTTTCAATTTCACTGAATTAAAGCATAGTACTGAGTTGACGAATATCCGCTGTCCAACGAGTGACAGCTGTCAAACTCCATATAAAAAAAACGGTGTAAAAAAGGAAAGAAGAAGAAATTTTTGCCTTCTAGATTTTGCGGGTACAGAGTTGAGGAAAATTTTTGTTATCGATTTTAATCGTGTTGCCGGATCAAAAAAAATAAACAGCTGCTCTCGAAATAGAATGAATGAGTGCAAGAGACAGAACAAATTGAGTGAGAGAGTCAGAGGGCATCTAACCATGGGCATTGCTTTGAAACCGAGTGAGTTGGGGTAGGAAGTAAGAAGAGTGCTATTGGAATTAGAAATGCAGACGAATTTCTCAAATGGTTTTTAACAACACACTGAATGAATTTATTTTTTCTGTTGAGCAAAACACTTTTTTTTAATACTTCTTTAATAATGAGGGAGTTGACCGAAAGGTAAATTATAATATAAGTGTTATTTTCACTTTCATTATAAATTAAAATAATTCCTTTATACTTATGGTTTTTAACCCTTCATATTTTCTTAGTGTTTTTTGTTTAGTTGCCTTCGGAGTTTTTTGGGTTTTAAAATTAAATTATTTTAAAACATTTTTTAGCGGTAAAATTGTGCTGGAAAAGTTAATAAATATTGAACATTTTTTACAATCTTATAAGTAAAATATGTAAAAAATTATATACAAAATAAGAATAAATATTTATGAAAAAAAAATTACTTGCTTCGATTTTTGAATCATTTTACTATCAGCGTCTAAAAACACAAGAAAATATGCAAAGTTGTATTCTAGAATGCAATAGAAACAATTCGAATGCGATCTGTAACTCTAACTCAAAATAAAACTTGTTATGATTGGAAAAATATGGTGATATGGGAAGATGGGCAAATGACATTTTCCTTTCAAAAAAAAATAAAAACCATTGAGCTATTAGGTATTTTGAATTATTTTCCAAACAGTACCCACGCCCGATTTTTTTAAAATTTAAAGCATAGTACTGAGTTGACAAAAATCCGCTTTCAAACGAGTGACAGCTGTCAAACTCCTTATAAAAAAAACGGTGTAAAAAAGGAAGAAGAAGAAATTTTCTCCTCCTAGATTTTGCGGGTACTGAGTTGACGAAAATTTTTGTTATCGAATTGAATGGCGTTGTCGGATCAAAAAAAATAAACAGCTGATCTCAGGGAGTTGAAAGAAATAATTTCATTTATTTCTATAGGTGTGACATGGAGGGTCAATTGATCAAACAAAAAAATAGTCGGCCCGAAAAATTTTCGACGCGCCAGGAGAAATTAAAATTAATTTCTGCGGTCTAGGCGAAGCCCATAATATGGGATTTGACCCACAAGGGGCATTTTAATTCCATAAAATGGCTTTGAAATGATTTTTGATTGATTTTGATTTTGATTTTGACCCAGTTTTCTATTTCTTAATCAGCTCCTTAGCGGCGAAATACATAAACAAAACACCAACATCCAATTGATTTGAATTCATTTTTGCTTATTGGTTTTTGTTTACAAAAAACAGCTGTTCAGTATTACCCTATTTCTTAATTTTTTTGGTCACACTAGCTCGGTAGCTGAATAAAGTGCGATATCGTTATCGGATTTTCAACAGCGGATTTTCGTCAACTTAGTACTAGGCTTTAGCGGCGAAATACATAAAGAAAACACCAAAATCTCGGTTTGAAATCATTTTTGCTTATTTTTTTTTTTACAAACAACAGCTGTTCAGTAATACCCTTTTCATGGCGTTTCAGGCTTTTCCTTAATTTTGTTCACACTCACAAAATTTGGTCACACTAGCTCGGTAGCCGAATAAAGAGCGATTTCGCTATCACACGTGTTACAGCGTATTTTCGTCGTCAGAGTACTAGGCTTAAGCTTTTAAATCAGTGGTAGTCAAACTCTCATTTTCTATAGCACAGCCTTATGCAGCCCTATTTTGCTGAAGCGATGGTCATACACGGACACTGTTAGGCTTATAAATTATAAATTATAAAACAGTGGAAAAATTGCAACGAATTATCTGTAACTCTAACTTAAAATAAAGTGGTTTTTATACCCTTGCAGAGGTTATTTTAATTTTTGTCCAAAAAGTGTGCAACGCAGTGAAGGAGACATCTCCGACCCTATAAAGTATATCTATTCTTGATCAGGATCACCTCCTGAGTTGATATGAGCATGTCCGTCTGTCCGTCTGTCTGTCCGTCTGTCTGTCCGTCTGTCTGTCCGTCGGTCCGTCTGTCTGTCTGTTTCTACGCGAACTAGTCTCTCAGTTTTAAAGCTATCATCGACTTGAAACTTTGCACACACCCTTCTTTCCTTTGCACGCAGTATATAAGTCGGAAGGGCCGACTATATCCTATAGCGGCCTTGTAACTGATTGATCGGAAGTGGTATAACTTTGATGTTTTTAAAGTTAGAGAGTTCAAGATTTACTTTTTGGCAGAATAATATTACGTGCCAAATGTCTTGAGGATCGGCCGACTATATCCTATAGCTGCCATATAACTTATTAATCGGAAGTGGTATAAATTTGTGTTAAAAAGTGTGTATAACTTGTGTTTTTGAAGATAGAAAGCTGGAACTTGGTACATATTTTAGTTTTGGTAAGTTAATCCTACCAAATTTCAAAACGATCGGTCGACTATATCTTATAGCTGCCATATAACTGAACGATCGGAAATGGTTTTTGGTATTTTTGAAGATAGATAGAAGTTTGGGACCTTTTTAGATTTTTTATTATAATAAATTGGGTTATATTATTATATTCTCATCAGGATTGGCCAACAATATCCGATGTTTGCGATACATATCCGGTTTTAGCTGCGGTTTTAACTCCGCCCGAAGTTAGCTTTTCTTTCTTGTTATGATTGGGAAAATATGGTGATATGGGAAGTTGGGTAAATGACATTTTCCTTTCGATCTGCCTAGTGCCGACCACTGATTTACAGATATGGACTCAAAAGAAGTGGGATATGTTGTTTTAACTCTTCATTGAAAACAAAATATTTGGAAATAATGTCTAAATCAAATATATATAAAGGTTCGGTCGAGCACACCATCGATATTAACAATATTTCTGTATTGTTAAAAAAAAAAACATTTAAAATAACTTAACAAAAGTAGAAATATTTTAGCAGATTTATATATTTCTTTAACTATTTCTAGAAAATATTTTCTTTTAATTTAGCCACTTCAGTACATAAAATTCTGGCAACACTGCTGGGTCTGCATGTCGCCCCGTTCTCAGATGTCTGTCAAGTTAGCATCGCTCAAACAGCGTCAAAGTGGAACGGTGGAACTGAAACACAGAAACAAACACGCTTCGCTTAAGGGGCCCATCCACAGGCGAGCATGTTGTGCTCGACGAAATTTTTCCTGTAGATGGTAGTGTTCGTTGTCAAATTTTGTATTCGACAAAATGTTCAAATAAAATGTAAATCGTTCTATTTTGACAACGTTGGCAACAACATGCTCGAGAATGGATGGCAATGTTGGCACGAACGTCATTTGGAAAATCGTTTTGGTAGAGCAAAATGAACAAAACATTCCTACAAGATTTTATTTATTGCCTAAAAAATGAACCTGCTCTATGGCACGCCAAAAGCGATGCATATAAAATCAAGCATGTGCGTAATAATGCATGGGAAGTTCTACTCAAAATACATATATAAAGAGTTCGATGAGCACGCAAAACTAGAAGCCGTTAAGAAAAAAGTCAATTCGCGTCATATAGACGAGAACTACAAAAGGTGCATCGAAGTGAAAAATCAGGCGCTGGAGCGGACGATGTGTACCAGCCGAGCTTGTGGTACTTCAGTGATCTGTCTTTTCTTAATGAAACAGAATCCTCGGTCGATGGAATCAGCACTTTTGATGACGGCCCAGCAAGTTACATAGTAAGTTTTTTAATAAAATTTAAAACAATGGTTTATTGTGCATATTAAGAATATAATTTTATTTTAAATTCGATCATTCTGCCAAGGTACTGCTCCAATTGTGTTAAAATATTCGCGAAAGTAATCACGAATTCTTTTGGCATTTTCTGGGCGATTGCCACCTGTCAACGGTTGCAAATCGCCTATTTGATGAGTGCCTCCAAATGAATTGACTGGATCTGCTGAACCTCGCAAATATACAGCGTCATTTCTTTTCGACAAATGGTTGTGCAAATAGCAACAACATAGAATTATCACCGAAGCCTTTTCCGACTCTATAGAAATAGTATTAAGAAGTATTCTAAATCTGGTCAATATTATGCCAAATGCTTTTTCCACTATACGCCTAGCTCTTGAGAGGCGGTAATTGAAAATCAGCTCTTCCTTTAGCAAGTTTTTGACGACTGTATAGCTTCATCAAATTTTGTGATAATGGAAAGGCGTCGTCCCCTACTATCACATATGGCAGTTCATATGATGTATTTGCTATTTGGCGAGGCTTCGGAATGAATAGTGATTGGTCATCGTAGCGCCTTTTATATTCCGATTGTGCAAATACACCAGCATCTGATGCCCTGCCATTTTCTCCAACTTTCACACAAATGAATTCATATTGAGAATTTACTATAGCCATCAAGACAATGCTGAAGTTTTTTTTTTATAATTAAAACAGAATGATCCTGATTATTTTGGTTTCTTAATATGCCCATGGTTTCTGTCAATAGCTCCTATACAATTTATGAAATTCCATTGTTTTTCGAAATCATCAGCAGTTTCTTTCTATTCTTCTTCATTTCCTGGAATCTAAAAAAAAATATGAAATTCGTTAATAATTACTAATTTCATTTCTTAGCCGAAGGCGCCGAAACGAAAACCGGATGAATCTACGCCGTTCCTACAGAAAGCAGTAGCGCACTTGGACAACATAAGCGCAAAGCAACAAAGGTGTGAAGCGGACATATATGCGGAAGGGTGGGCTGCCATGTTCAAGCAGTTATCAAAGAAGTAGCAGCTTTTTGCGAAAAACGCATAAACGAGATCCTCATGCAAGGGCGCATGAATATGCTGACGTACCAAGGGGTGTCAAGTATTGCAAATATTTCTAATAATACAAATTCTAATGGTCAATGCCAGATGCCAGTATTCATGTATCCACGAAAACAAATGTATCGTGAGAGCACTCCACATATGAGCGACTCAAATAGATCTTCTTTTTCGTCTAATCAATTGGAAGACAACAAAAATGATATAATAACAACCAAAAAAGGAACCGTTTCTGTTACATCCTTTGAAGTCTTATTCTACAGCGATGAATAAACCAATGTAGTACAAAATACAGGGTGGGCCATTTGAAGTTGACCCACATGATTCCTAAAACAAAAACAAATAAAGTGGGCAATTTTTTTTTATTCCAAAAATTATTTATTTTGGTCCAAGGAGATTTTTTGGACCACAATAAATGATTTTTGGAATAAAAAAAAAATTGTCCACTTTTTTTGTTTTTGTTTTAAGAATCAAGTGGGTCAACTTTAAATGGCCCACCCTGTATATTTCATAAATAATAAAAAATGTGTTACCTTGTTATAAGACTTTAGCATTTTAATTATCGCTCGACATGTTTCAATTATTATGCGCCCTAGGCTCTTCAAAACTTTGGCCGCTAGCCAAATAACGCTAAGTCGCTCAAAGGCGTTCGTTTGCGCTTATTGCCTCACGCATTTGTGTGTCCTGTCTTCGTATTTCAGGCTCTACTAAATTTTACAGTCTAAAAAAATTTAACAGTTTAAATTTAACAGAAAGTTTTTTAAATCGATAGGAGACGTTTCATGAAACTCCTTAAAAAGCTTCGTATGTGTGAATTTTAGGCGCTTTGCGTACCATTCCTTCATCCACATACTGTGCTTCCTTTTTTCGCTTCATTTTTTTTCTTTACAGTAATAACAGTGCCGCTCTCGTTGTCCGTTGACATAGTGACATGTTGATAGTTTCAAAATTTTTTCGAAAAATGATGTTCGCACGCATGTTGGCTCTAGTTAGTGAGGAAAATGAAATTCAAGTTGGCGAGCATGTTGGCGAAGTACTTCTTCATTCACCTCAAGCTCCACTTCCGTTGTCATCAGATGAAATTGAAATAATTTCCGAACTTATAGATGTTTTAAAACCATATAATGATGCAACTCTGCAAGTATCAGGAAATAAAACGGTAACTGTTTCTTTGATTATTTCTGTAATAGCCGAACTTCATCAAGAATTGTATCATCTTGGTAGCAATGTTTAGTCTGAGTGTGCCAAAGAAGTCATAAAACAACTCTCAAAACGATTGCCTGAACGGTTCGCAGCTTACGAAACAATGACCATACCCAGAATAGCAACTGTGATAGACCCTCGATTTAAAAAAGATGGTTTTTTACACTCTTTTAATACCGACGAAGCTGCAAAGGCTTTGGAACAGGGGTGGCCAAGCTGAGTATAAGGCAGAGCAAACTCCAATACCAGTGCAAAAAATCACCATACACCATTACACCATTTTTTTTCATGTCGATGCACTGAAAAATAAAATTATGGTAGGGGTTCCAAATAAATATCATTAAAATAAAAAATTAATTTTATTATAGCAATTATAAATAGGCCCAATATTTTTTACAACAGATTTTCATTATACTATGCCAATAAATACATAACTTTTTACTTAAAAATTGTTCTGCGCTGAAGAAATTCCTTGTTTCAAGTCGACCATTTTGGCCGCAACAAAAACAAAAATGAATTTCTAGCAGTGAAAAGTTTTCGGCAATCCAACAACAAAATGCATTCGGATTAGCACGATTGAGGTGAAAAGGGAAAACACGAAAAATTGATTTTGTATTTGGGCTTTGCCTATGCTGGGAGCAACACACGTATACGAAATTTCATTTCCCATATGAAAAAGCAATTCCAACAACAAAGGAGCAACAAGAGCAATGGGGCTGGGCACCCCTGCTTTAGAACAAGAAGTTTCAGAAAAATTGTCCTCAATATCTTCAAATACACATTCAACACCACCCGATCTTCCAAAGCGAGCTCGTTTTGAATTTCAACAAAGCAAAATTTCGTCCAAGCCCAGCTCCAACAGAGCAGGGCTATTTGCTGAGGCTATATATGTGCGAACATCATTTTTCGATAAATTTTCAAACAATCAACATGTCAACGGACAACGACAGCGGCACTGTCGTACTTATGGCAATAAGTATTTGCTTAGAAAAAAAGAATAAAAAAAAAAAGGAAGCACAGTATGTGGATGAAGGAATGGTACGCAAAGCGGCTAGAAATCACACATGCGAAGCTTTTAAAGAAGTTGCATAAAACGTCTCTTATGGATTTAAAAAACTTTCTTCGAATGGACAGTTCTACATATGAAGAACTGTTAAATTAAGTAGAGCCTGAAATACGAAGACAGGACACACAAATGCGTGAGGCATGCATTATTACGCAAATGCTTGTTTTTATATGCATCGCTTTTGGCGTGCCATAGCGCAGGCTCATTTTTTAGGCAATAAATAAAATCTTGCAGGAATGTTTTGTTCATTTTGCTCTACCAAAACGATTTTCCAACTGACGTTCGTGCCAACATTGCCATCCATTGGCGAGCATTTGACAACAAACACTACCATCCACAGGAAAAATTTCGTCGAGCACAACATGTTCGCCCAACATGCTCACCTGTCGGTGGGCCCCTTTAGCGTCGAAGTGAAACGGTGGAACTAACACAGCAACGAACTTTTTATTTTTCAATTATTTCACTATAAAGCGACTAAAATAAATAAAATAAACACTAGAAATGTAAACAATTGAATTAATTTTTCATTTTTCTTTTTTTGAGCTGGAAGAATAATTCACCAGGTATTGCCTTAAATGAAGGAATACAAACTACTGGTTGCGGGCCGCCGCAGACTCAAGGGTAAGATCACGAGAATTGGGTCCTTAGCTGAGTTTTTACCTGCAACAAAATCAATGGATGGAATCGAAGTTTTGCTGGAACGATTAGATTTTGCATGGAGCGAATTCGAAAAGCTTGAAGATGCATTATCAGTTCATGATCAGGTCGATGGATACGTAGATCCAGCCGACGACAACGCAGAATACGAAGGAAGGTACCTGAAGACAAGGGAGTTCCTTGTCTCAGCAAAGCACTCATTGGAGCCACAAACACCATCAACAACGCAATACGCAGAAGTTTCACTATTTGAAGTCGCTGTTGACCGATGAGGCGGCCTTATTGCTTATTTATCAATTACAGAAAGCGCACATGAAACAGCATTTTTGCGTTTAAATGAGAGGTACGACAGACCACGCCACATTTATTCCATATTGAAGAAATTTACGAAGCTACCGGAGACCACCAACTGATGGAGCAAACGAGATAGTTTGAGCGTTGGACGCGATCGGAGAAAAGACACGGTAATGCTGGATCATCTTTTTGATTTTGCACAAAATAGAGGCCGAAACACGCCGTAAATAGAGCAGGCTCTGCGGACTTCCTGGCGCTGAGTTGTCATACATTTCGGAACGTTGCATTAGCACACTTGGACTTGCATGTTTATCATCTCGGATACTGGTATCGGGAATTTCTTCCATCCAGGCTGAGGCACCCAGAGGGATCACACAGCTGAATCTCAAATCACGACTCACAGACAGCTCACTGAAGATTAGTGCACACGTTCTCAGTAAGATCACATCGTCTTGGCAGAGAAACAACATCGAACCATCATCACTCAAAGTGTTCGATGGGTTCCTGATGGTGGATACCGACTTCTCATCGGTGGCTGCGATAGACATTCTATTGACGAGCGACTACGTTTGGACCACGCAAACGGGCCAAAAGATGCACGACAACATGGGCAATCTTATTACCATATCCACGATATTTGGATGGGTCATCACATCGGTTGGAGTTAATCAGTCTCCAACAACTACAACGCTATTCTGCACATGCAACATTGACAGTACAATGCAACGATTTTGGGAGAAAGAAGAAGTCGGCAGCTACGCTCACAAGGATTCACACGAAGATACGGTCGAGAAACATTTCCTCGAGACGCACAAAAAGGACAACGATGGAAAGTATATCGTCGAGTTACCATTCAAGACGGCAAATCCGAAGTTTGCAGACACACTCCAAGGAGCACAATCTCGCTTCATGGCTGTAGAAAAACGGCTACAGCGCAATCCGGATATACGAGAGAAGTACGTAAAATTCATGCAGGAATATCTAAGTCTTAGTCATGTGAACGAAGTTAAGGCATTGAGCAACGATTCAGGTATCATCTTCTATCTGCCCCATCACTCTATAGTTGGATGAAAACTTAGGGTCGTATTCGACGGGTCATTCAAGGACGGAAATAGAGTGGCTCTGAATGACACACTACACGTTGGACACGTTTGCCTCCGCTTAAGAATGTATAGATACGTCTTCTCCGCAGACATTGTCAAAATGTGTCGCCAAGTTTGGGTAAGCACCGATCACCAAAACTACCGAAGAATCCTATGGAGAGAGCATCCAACCGCGCCTTTGAAGCACTACCAGCTACGCACTGTAACTTATGGAACAGCTTGTGCGCCTAATCTGGGTGTAAGGCTATCCTGTGTAAGACGAATATCCAACTGCATCGAGAATTCTTCTAGAGTACTGTTACGTCGACGATGTACTCACTGGAGCGAACCACCAAGATGGGCTACTAGCAAATAAGTATGAGCTATTACAACTGATGTCACACGCCAAATTGGACCTCGACAAGTGGGTATCCAAATCATCACGAATATGTAAACCCAAATCCAGAGACGCTATCAGCACCGGAAACGAACGAGTACAAGGTTCAATAAAGGTTCTTGGAATTTACTGGAAATCAACCGACGACACGCTGATGTACCAAACCGGCTTGACATCAAATCCGAACTGCACTAAAAGGCAAATCCTCTCAGATGTTGTACGTATCATTGATCCTCTTGGCCTACTATCGCCAATTGTGGTACAATTCAAAATCATGTTCCAAAGGCTATGGCTATTGGATCTCGATTGGGAGCTTCCACCAAACATTGCCGAGCCTTGGTTCAAGTGCAGAGCAGATCTCGAAACGCTACGAAAGTTGCAAATACCACTATTTGTCCTTAGCAAGGAGGACTCGATTGAACTACACGCCTTCTCCGATGCATCGACCAAGGCATATGCTGCTGCTGTTTACTGCCGGTGTCGAAACAAGGACGAAACATATTCGGTTTCGTTGGTGGCTGCCTAAACCAGGGTAGCACCACTGAAACAACAATCTTTACCTCCACTGGAGCTGTGTGGAGCGCTGCTGTTAAGTCGCCTGATACGATCACTCAAGAAAGGACCACGACACAAGGAAATTCAGGCACAAATTCATGGTGCAATTCAACTATTGTTTTATCCTGGCTATCATATCCACTATCGAAGATGAAAATCTTCGTCGCAAATCGCACTTTCGAAATTCTGGAAACATTGCCACAACATACCTGGCATCACGTAAGCTCAAAGGAGAACCCCGCCAACTGCGCATCAAGGAGAATGACGACTTCCAAACTACTAGAATTTCACCTGTGGTGGAACGGGCCACCATGGCTACACAACGATGACGAGTGCACGGCAAAGGTACAAAACTCTAAAACTTGTTTCAATTTTTCAGACCATCACTCCCAAGAAGATGGACAATTTATTATCAGCATTTGACGACCTTATTCAACGCATCTCATCCTGGTGGAAGCTGGTACATAGCCTGGGCTATGTTCTACGCTTTATCCGACGACTGAAGAAGACACAAAACCGAGCGGAATAAAACACACTGTCTTTTGAGGAGATCAAAGCAGCACGACTAGTGCCTGAGAATCGCACAGGAGTGCTCTGGAGAAGACCGAATGCTTCTCCAGACGAATCAACCACTGCGAAACAGGTCATAGTTATCAAAGCTTTCACCGTTTTTTGGTTCGGATGACCTACTACGAGTTGGCGGGCGTTTGAGACAATTGTCATAGGATAACTCCAGGGTTTGAATTTTGTCAGGTTTTTATTTAGAAGGAGCAGCTGAGGTGCCGCTCCACCGATCAAAATGTCTCTCTTCTTTTACAATATTTTTTAAGTCTAAGTAAGGCTAAGTCTCGTAGCTGCGATGCTCGCAGGCGGCGGCAGAGAGACGGCTATGTACTTATGTATAAAGGAATATAATAATATACGTTGTTATGCACTCTCAAGTGGAGGCGCGAGGGGTATGCATATTCTGACCGTTTGTTACAATTATGCCGACACTAGCACTTTCTGTGTGCGGGCTAAGCCATAACGATCGGTTCATATTTCGGCCACTTAGGGTTTATGACCGGGACTTTGGATTATGTAAATACTGCAACAAAGTGTTACAGTGCGCACCCTTTAAGTACTCTCGTTACAGTGGGTATTCAATATATATGCATACTACATCTACCTCCTTTTGAAAAATAACGTAATATAATGAAGTTATTTTTATAATAAAAATTTCTAATTAATACATCCTTTTTTTTATTATTTTTTTGTTGTTTTATGTTATTAAAATCAAAGAAAATGAAATTATTAAAAGAATATGTGTATTTATTTATCTATGTATGTGTGTCTTTGTATGGCCCCCCTTCAGTACCAAAATTCCTTACCCCGACGTTTCCTGGCGACATTGTCGAAAAACAAAAACAAATTGCATGGGCTTCGTTTACTCAAGTCCGAAACGAAAGGGGAAACGAAACTTCTACCTGCTTTTGGTTTTCGACGATGATTCTCGAAGCTTCTACGTCATATTTTCGATGCAGCGGCACGCGACAGAGAAACAATTAGAGAGATGTAGATGGAGGGAAGGGAGAGAAAAAAAATCTGTGCCGAAAACCAAATGAATGGAAGCGACGTCAGAATACCCTTTTTAAAATATGTTGAAATATTTTTATATATTTAAGATTATATTTAATAAATTTTTCTTTTCTAATCATATGGTATATTGAAATGTATTAATAATTTGCTTTAGGCAAAGCCAATATGTTCATGTTTGATTATTAGCCTTGTACGATTCTAATTACAAGGCATTGCGTTGGTCGACTATACCATGGCACGCGCCAGAATTATCGGTTGTCAATTTTCGGTTTCGTCTTGCCTCTCCCCTTCTCTTTGCATTTGCTGTTCAATTTGCATCGGAATTACACGCGTTTGTTGCGTTTAAAGTTAAATTTTTCAAAAAACATTTACATAAGTGACCTAGTGATACTAACTAATTCTGGTGAGTAGTGCATATAATTAACTTATTTATTAAATACCGAGCGGCCGTTCAATATATGTATGTACATATGTACATATATTTATTAAACGGCATTAGCCGCTCTAATCCATAGCGCGAAATCATGAATTGAGTGATATTTTTGAGCGAAAAAAAATAAAAATCAAAAATAATAAGAAGATTCACCCTCCATTGTCCGTTGACAAAAAAAAAAAGAAAGCGTATTTCATTAAAATAAAACAAATAAACTTATAAAATGTACAAAAAAATTATGTATTCTTTTTATTTTCTAGATCAAAGATGGAGCCTCAAAATAAAATTTTAAAGATGGCGTTTAATGTCGATGGTAAGTAAATTAAATAAAATCTAATTTTTTTATTAATTTATTGTCTCAGACGATGACCTAATTGCGGAGACGCAAATGAGGGAGGTGGAGATAGTGAGCGAGGTGAGCGACTCAAAAATTGATCGCCTAGAGCGAAAAATAAATGAGCAGGCGCGGAAACTGGATGAGCAGGCTAGGGAAATCGCCGCTTGCACCAACCAGCTGGCAAAGTTGACAGCATTGCTGGAGGTCTTTGTTAAGGGAAAGGCCTCCAGCAATGCTGGCAACATGGAATTCCCGATTGCCACCGACGAGGCATTGGCATCGTTAGAATTCGCCTTAGGCCGCGGCATGAAGGAAAAATGTGTAAGTATAATATTTATAAATTAAATATAAAAAAATTTTAATACCTATTAATTTTTGCAGACCACCGCAGTGACGAACTTATTAAAGCGCGGAGCCCTTACAAAGTCATTAAAATATATTTTCGTGGAGGACCTGATCGTCAATTACAATATTGACGGAGCAAGTGGTAAGAGGAGATTAAAGTCGTTTCCAAATTTTTATGGAATTTTGATTGGTATGTATTTTAATTACAAATAATGTAAGAGATATCTAATTTCTATTTATTTTATTTACAGATAGTATATCTATGGTGGATCCGGGTAAACCGCCGGAGAAATTGTTGGGGCACGCTTTGACGGCCATCAAAAATAATAATAATAAAAAAAAAATTAAAATAAGTAAATGAATAAAAAAAGTAGTATAAATCTTTAGAATAAATAATAATAAATTATAACAATGTATTATAACAATATAGATTATAACAATTCATAATTTCTTATATTAATAAAATTTCAAATAAAAAAATAATTTTGGTTGTAAAGGTTGGATGGAATCCTTATGAATCCCGTGAGATTCCTCACGGTATACCTCAGGGATTCCTTGGGGTATTTCCTCAACGATTCCTCAGAGTATACCTCAGGGATTCCCTTGGGTATTTCCTCAACGATTCCTCAGAGTATATCTCAGGGATTCCCTGGGGTATTTAGTTTGAAATGCTCTTCGAATAACTGCAGGAATCGTGCAGTATTCCTCGAGTTGTTCTCGAGCATTTCGAACTAAATACCCCAGGGAATCCCTGAGGTATACTCTGAGGAATCGTTGAGGAAATACCCCAGGGAATCCCTGAGGTATACTCTGAGGAATCGTTGAGGAAATACCCCAAGGAATCCCTGGGGTATACTCTGAGGAAACGTTGAGGAAATACCCCAAAGAATCCCTGGGGTATTCTCTGAGGAATCTTACAGGAAATAGGTGGGATTCACTGAGGAACTGTAAGGATTTTCACCCCCCCCCCTTTCCAACCAAAATTATTATTTTATTAGAAATTTTATTAATTTAAGAAATTATTAATTGTTATAATCTATAAATACAATTTATTTTACAAAGTTTATATACAAAAAAGATTTATTCTACTTATTTTATTTATTTACTTATTTTAATTTTTTTTTATTATTATTATTTTTGATGCCCGTCAAAGCGTGGCCCAACACTTTCTCAGCCGAGGTCCCCGGAACCACTTTGGATATACTATCTGTAAATAAAATAAATAGAAATAAGATATTGTTTACATTATTTGTAATTAAAATACATACCGATCAAAACTCCATAAAAATTTGTAAACGCCTTCAATCTCTTCTTCCCACTAACTCCGTCGATGTTATATTGCACGATCATTTCCTCAATTAAATAAATAAACAATAAATAGATAATAACATAATATGTACAGGCGGCTAATGCCGTTTAATAAATATATGTACATATGTACATATATAAATATTTAGCACTTTTCCGAGCGGCTAATGCCGTTTAATAAATATATGTACATATATTGAATGGCCCCTCGAGTAGGGAGTAAATAGGCAATCGGCTGATTTCTTGCGTCATATCCGTGTATGCATGTATATGTTGGTGGGAACGTAAATCCACAATCCAATATACACTCACATATATATATAATCCTAAATAAAAAATACATATTGACCTTTCATCCGACCCTGACATAAATATGTCTCCTGCAAGAAAGTGATAAAAAGGGATCGCAGCAGGTCAATTGGTTCCTTTTTTTTCTTGACCCTTCAGGGTGGATTTTCACTTTTCTACGAAAAGGTTTTCTTGTGATATACTTACTCCTTGTAAAATTCTGCATTATATTTTATATTATAAAATTAAATTTCTGTACCTAAGTCCGAGTTAATTTAAAATTAATTAAAAAAGAATTGGAGTAAAAAATCCTTTTAAATGATATGCAACACCATAATAAAATTTTGGATATTTTGTTTTTTTTAAATAATTATTTGTTCTTTATCATTAATTTTAAATTAATTACAAAATAATTATAATAAAATACATTTTTAAATGAACTGCAGCACCATGAATATAATTTTTGTAAATAAGCATTTTATTTTTTGTTAATCAATTTTATTTATTTTTCCACGATCCTGAATCTTATTTATTTTTTCACGATCCTGAATCTTAGACAGGTATCTTAAGTGGACAGTTAAATTTGTAGGGAATTAGGCAAACGGCGTATAAGCGCCAGAAAAATTTTAGAAGTATGTAATTAGGCAAACGGCGTACGACGTAAATTTAGTGGCGCCATCTATGGGTCAAGTTTGTGTAAAATTGGGCAGCGCCATCTACCGTAATATTTTATACGCCCTCTATTGGCATAAAAGCAAACGATCATGCCAAAAATTATACTTGCCAGGATCATCGCCGTCTATGTTTTCTACATTTTCTGATATCTTGCATTGGTTTCCATTAAGAGAAATATGCATGTAAAGAAAAGATCATGTAAGAATGAAACTTGTCAGGATCATCGCCGTCTATGTTTTCTATATTTTCTGATATCTTGCATTGGGTCCCATTAAGGGAAATATGCATGTAAAGAAAAGATCATGTAAAAATGAAACTTGCTAGGATCATCGTTTGCCTAATTACATACTACTAAAATTTTTCTGGCGCTTATACGCCGTTTGCCTAATTCCCTACAAATTTAACTGTCCACTTAAGATACCTGTCTAAGATTCAGGATCGTGAAAAAATAAATAAGATTCAGGATCGTGAAAAAATAAATAAAATTGATTAACAAAAAATAAAATGCTTATTTACAAAAATTATATTCATGGTGCTGCAGTTCATTTAAAAATGTATTTTATTA